AGTTGCCCAGGTGGGTCTCGAACCCGTGGGATTCAGGCAATTCACTCACCTCGGCCTCCCAAAGCGTGGGATTACAGGCTGAGCCACCGAGCCTGGCCTGGTTTGAATTTTAAGATGCATCTGCCAAACTCTACCATAGTCAGCTTGAGAGCTTCTCAAGACTTACAACCTTTCTCTGATGCACCAGTCACCCACTAGGGATCTCAGGATGCTTTCACCAGCGGCCCCTATTCGTTTCTTGCCCTGTGTTCTCTAATCTCAGCAACAACTCATCCTTGTAGGTATCATATCATAATGGTTAAGAGCACAGGCTAGGGATGGGCACTGAGGCTCATACCTGCAGTCCTGACAGTTTGGGAGACCAAGGTGAAAGAATCGCTTGAGGCCAAGAGTTTGAGACCAGCCTGAGCAACATAGTGAGACCCAGTCTCAGAAAAGAAAAGAAAAAGAGCACAGGCTCTGAAGCCACATTGTCTAGCTCCTATAGTTGGTGTGTGACCTTGGACTGTATCGATTTTCTTGCCAGTAAAATGAGAATAAGAATAACTACCTTATAGAGCGGTTGAAAGGAGTTCATTTATTTGAAACGTCTATTACTTATGTCTGGCTTATTATAGGCACTCGATAAATGTTAACTACTGAAGCCTGTACAACTGGCGATCCGCAAAACACTTTCACCTCCACTATCTCATCTGAAGAACTCGCTCTATGAGATAGCAACATTTATAAAGCAGAAAGCTGAGGTCGAGCGTAATTTATACAAGGTCACTGGCGTACGTGACTCCTAGCAAGACTCGCATCTCGGGTCTCCCATCCCCTCTCCGGCAGCCCAAATGGAGACAGCCTTATTTCCGTGTAAGGTAAATTACCTGGGCAACGGGGAGCAGACTCGAGATAGGGGCGGCGGCAGTCGGCGGCGCCAGTGTCAGGGAGCCCAGAGCGCGGGTAAGTGCCCACAAGGCCATAGGGGTGGCGAGGCTGTGCCGGACTCTACACACCACCCGTACCGCTAGCCAGGCTGCCCGGCGCTCCCAGATGATGTCGCTTACTCCCGGCGCCGTCGCTCCCCAATAACGTAAAAGAAGGCGGGCAGAAAACTGGATTCTAAGCAACACACCTACTTCCTGTCCTTCCCTAACGTGCTCAGAACCAATCCTTGGGCAGCTCTCAGGTCGCGTGACTAGAGAACAGACTCCGCCCCTCGGAGCCGTCAAAACAATTGCCTCGAGCGGCAGCCATGATTAATTTAAAGGGCCAGTACTGCAAGAGCGTCAGCCAGACCGACAGACTGCAGGTAAGTCTTTAAGGGTACCTCTGGGGCCGAGGGATGAAGTCCCCGCCAATTCTTATTCTGGCACCCCCAGACAGATGAACAAACTGCCTCCAACAGACCTCACTAAACTCCGGACTCAAAAACTCCGCCCCGCCGCGATTCTTCCCGCCCCTCGGCATCCAGACAGACAGACGGCCTGCCCCGCCCCCTGCGCGACCGACTGACTCAGTGACCTCGGGACTGTCAGGCTCCCAGGTCCTCGTCCGCGATTCAGACCTCGGTCGTCCACTCGCACATCGCCCCTGCGCCCCCGCCCACCTCACTGTATCCCCACCCTGGGCCCCAGGCAGGTCGACAGCCCGAGACACTTCTCAACTGCATTCCCAGGTCCGGGAGACCAAATCCCAGTGCCGCGTTTCTCTGTGACCCTGCAGCCGCTCAGCAGTCCTCCCGTTCTTCCCTGCATCGTCAGGCATTTGGGAGGCACCCTAAGGTGATTCCTCTCAGAGCCTGTGAGTAGGTGATCGTGCCAGAGACAAAGCCGTGCAAGTGACTGGGCTAGGAGTGACCAGGTCTTTCTCCTCACTCTTCCCAGACACGATCCTTGCCGCGGGTCTCTGATTAAATCTTTTTCTCACTCGCTGCTTGGGAGAAAGTAGCTCCCCAGGCCTGGGATGGGAGGCTGGCTTGGGGAAGGAGAAGGGAATTGGGCGTCTTTGAAGACCTGTGGGCAGAAGGAGGGAGGGTGTTTGTCTTGGGTGGAGCTCTGTGTCAGGTCCTTTGGGTGGCTGTGAAGTGGTAAGAGAAGGAGTGGGAACGCTGGACTTCTGGACTTTGGGCAGGGCAGATTCTTCTGAATCCCTAGCTGCTGAGTAGAGTTTCTTCCGGCCTGGGGCCTGCATGCTGCAGCCAGGGATCCTGCTCTATACACAGGTAGGAGGACTTCAAAGATGAGAAACAAGGCCCTTTTGAAGAAGTGGGAAGGCAACCTGAGTAGTGGAGCCCCGGAAAAAGGGGCGAAAACTGTGGGTTGAAAGTTAGTGGAAAAAGAGGCAGGGCTGACCAGGTTTGGAGATTTTGGGCTTGGTTCCATGGGTGATGCAGCCTGAAGACCTTGAGCCTTCTGGGGCCCTCTCATCTGGATCCTGCAAGGAAGGCTCCTGTTTTCTTCTTTCCCCTTTCTTCCTTGATTTAACTGTGAAACATATTCTCTTTTTTTCTACCCCCCTGCACTACTTTCTGCATATCTTCTGACTGCTTTAATCCTGTTTCCTTTGCAACTCTTACATATACCCCTGTGATCCCTGTAGTGTTGTTTCTCATCCAGATTCCTTTTCCTAACCCAAGCTCTCTCTCCAACTACTTTTCTGCTCTCTTGTGAAGTCCTAAAACCCCTCTGCCAGTACTAAACACCTTCGTTCCTTTTATAGTCTTTGAGACAGTTCATCTTCCTCTCTCTTTGTCCACAACCTTAGCTTTGTGGACAAAGAGAGAAGAAGATGAACTGTCTCAAAGACTATAAGACCATAGTGGCCACTCTCTCTCTCCAACTAAGCCACAGGGTCACCCATAGTTTATTCCTTCACTTGAATCCCCATCACCCTCTAACCAAGTCGCTCAGACTCTGTCTCACCTTTACCCCAGCTGGACTCTGTTGTTTCTCCCTAGACCAGGCGAGGTCCCCCTGGCCAGGATGTCAGGCCTGGTGTTGGGGCAGCGGGATGAGCCTGCAGGGCACCGACTGAGCCAAGAGGAGATCCTGGGGAGCACTCGGCTGGTGAGCCAGGGGCTGGAGGCCCTACACAGTGAGCACCAGGCTGTGCTGCAAAGCTTGTCCCAGACTATTGAGTGTCTGCAGCAGGGAGGTCACGAGGAGGGGCTGGTGCATGAGAAGGCCCGGCAGCTGCGTCGTTCTATGGAAAACATTGAGCTGGGGCTGAGTGAGGCCCAGGTGAGAGGGCAGAGGTGGTTTCACATGATCTGGGGGGTGGATGGATGAGCATTTGGGGTCACTGGCAATCACCTTGGCCTAGACACTTGCATTCATTCAGTAAATATATATTAAGCCCCTACTATGTGCCAGAAACTCTTTTTTTTTTTTTTTGAGTTGGAGTCTCACTCTATTGCCCAAGCTGGAGTGCAGTGGCACACTCATGGCCACCGCAGCCTCAACCAGCCTTCCAAGTAGCCGGAACTACAGGTGCGCGCTACCACGCCTAGCTGATTTTTGATTTATCATGGAGACGAGGTCTCACCAAGTTGCCCAGGCGGGTCTCAAACCTGTAGGCTCAGGCAATCCACTCGCCTCGACCTTCCAAAGTGCTGGGATTAGAGGCTGAGCCACCGAGCCTGGCCCAGAAACTCTTCTGGACACTGGAGATACCTCACTGAACACAACAGTAAAAATCTTTGCCATCTTGGAGCTTACCATCTAGCTGGGAGAGCCAGATAATACACAGATAGATAAGTAAATGATTCAGTATGCCAGCGTGATAATTGCTAAGGATAAAAATAAAGTAGGGAAGGGGACCAAGGCCTAAGGAGAGGGCATATAATTTTAGATAGGATGGTCAAGAAAGGCTTCCTGAAAAGGTGCCATTCAGGCAAAGATTTGAAGGTGAGGGAAGGAGTCATGCAATAAGCAGGGGAAGGACATCCTAAGCAGAGAAAGCAACACACGCAAAGGCCTTGAACGGGAGGCGCCCGGTGTATTCAATGAACAGTGAGGGGTCAGTGTGGCTGCAGTAGTTAATAAGGAGAAGCAAGCCGGGCATGGTAGCTCACGCCTGTAATCCCAGCACTTTGAGAGGTGGAGGCGATAGGATTGCCTGAGCTCAGGGGTTCGAGACCAGCCTGGGCAACTTGGCGAGACCTCATCTCTACAATAAATCAAAAAATAAGCCAGGCGTGGAAACATGCCTGTAGTTCCAGCTACTTGGAAGACTAAAGCGGAAGGATTGCCTGAGCCCAGCAGGTTGAGGCTGTGGTGGCCGTGAGCGTGCCATTGCACTCCAGCCTGGATGACAAAGTTAGAATCTAACTCAAAAAAAAAAAGGAAGCAAAGTTGAAAATTAAGTCTGGGGGCAATGGGTTTGGGGGAGAGGGAGGGAGACACATTGTGTGGAACTCAGAGGTCATTGTGAGGACTTTGCTTTTACTTTGAGTGCAATGAAACTCTTGGAATGTTTTCAGAAGAGGAATGATGTGGTCTAACTTAACAGTATCTGGCGTCCAGTAGACTCTAGGGAAATAAGGGCAGAAACAAGAGAGGCCAGTGAGGAGGCTATTATAGTAATCCAGGTGGGAATTGATAGTGGCCTGGCATAGGATAATGGAGGTGGCGAGAAAGTAGATCAGGGTATATTTTAAAGGTAGAGTCATCGTTACCACCCCCTCCTTGTGCCCCTGCCAGTCTGGCCACCTTTCAGTAGGCTCCCTTCCTGCCTATCCCTGAACACTCCCCTCCAGAGTCTAGAGCTCACAGGATGTGCCCACCTAGGTGATGCTGGCTCTAGCCAGCCACCTGAGCACAGTGGAGTCGGAGAAACAGAAGCTGCGGGCTCAGGTGCGTCGGCTGTGCCAGGAAAATCAGTGGCTTCGGGATGAGCTGGCAGGAACCCAGCAGCGGCTACAGCGCAGCGAACAGGCCGTGGCTCAGCTGGAAGAGGAAAAGAAGCACCTGGAGTTCCTGGGACAGCTGCGGCAGTATGATGAGGATGGGCACACTGCGGTGAGCATGTGCATTGCACTGGTTGGGTGGTGGGCAGCTGGGAGTTACCACTAACATGGGAGCAATTGCCCCATCACCCCCAGGGCCTCAGCTCTGCCTAACTTGTTCACCAACTCCTGGTGGCAGCAAGGGGGGAAACAATATTCACTCATTGAACCAACAATTTTTTTTGAGTTGGAGTCACTCAGTTGCCCAGGCTGGAGTGCAGTGGCATGTTCACAGACCTTCTGGGCTCTGGTGATCCTTCTGCCTCAAGCTTCCAAGTAGCCAGATCTACAGGTGCGAGCTACCACACCTGGCTACTTGTTTATTTATTGTAGAGATGTGGTCTCACCATGTTGTCCAGGCTGGTCTCAAACCCGTGGGCTCAGGCAATCCTCTCCCTTTGACCTCTCAAAGTGCTGGGATTATAGACTTGAGCCACCACACCCGGCCTACATTTTTTTTTTCTTTTTTGAGTTGGGATCTCACTCTGTCACTCAGGCTGGAGTACAGTGGCCCAATTATGACTCACTGCAGCCTTGACCTCCTGGACTCAGGCAATCCTTCCGTCTCAGCCTCCTGAGCAGCTGGGACTACAGGCATGCACCACTACACCCAGCTAGTTTTTTGTAGAGACGAGGTCTTGCTAAGTTGCCCAGGCTGGTCTCGACCTCCTAGGCTCAAGTGATCTACCCATCTCAGCCTCCCAAAGTGCTGGAATTACATGAGTGAGCCACCACACTTGGCCTTCAACCAACATTTAATTAAATGCCTACTGTGTGCCAGGCATTGTGCACTCTACTGGTGAACAGGGCATACAGAGTTTCTGCTCCCACAATTACAGGTTAGTGAGGGGAGACAGACAAGCACCTGGACAATTTCAATCCAGAATCCTAAGTGCTATAATTAGGGAAAGCGTAGCCCAGTTAAGCATGATCCTCCTAAAATTTGCTCTCAAAATGTGTGAAATTTGATTCTCA